CACTTGTGAAAATCACCCTCGCCTTCCAGCTTCCCGTGGGCTGGTGCTCCTTGGAGCCAGCATGGGGTGGGAGCTCAAGGCCATGTCTACACAGGCACCAATTATGGGGATGTAGGAATAGCCTCTTTTCACTTAGTAAAGGAAATTTTGTAGGTACATGTTTAAAACAACAGTCCATTTGTTCACTAAATAATATTTTTAAAAAGAAACTATTTGTCTATCAAATGAACTTCCCCAAAGTGATAAGTGATTTAGATGTGTGACGTCTGTGATGCCCACATGTGTGCTGCAGGGTTTGTGTTTTCATCCAGGTGAAGACGCTGAGAAGAGAGCTGACTGTATGGAGCTCAGAGGCCATGTCTGGGCTGGATGGCAACCAAGATTTTCTTAAAACAAAAATCCCAAAGGGATAATAAGTGAGTTGAATCTTAAGTAGAGTCAATGGGTATTTTTCCTGCATTGAGGTTTTGTTAGTGGTAATAAAATAAGCAGACACAGACAAGCACTATTCAAATATGGAAAAAAAGCAAGGTTTTTTTTTTTTTGGTTAACCCTAAGTTCAACTTGAACCTGAAATGTTAACAACAAAGGGGAACCTGGGGCTTTAATTGCAATGAGAAAACAGTTACTTGTGTTTAAGCACCTGCTGGGGCAAGCACAGTGGTGGGCACTTATCCAGACAGCAGCTGTGTGTGGTACCTGGGCGCTTAGCCTGCCTCTGCTGGCTGGCAGCCTCCCCCACAAGAATCCCACATCCCCTTCCTGCACTCGCCTGAGTTGAAAGGTCTTCATCTGCAAGCCCACACAGCACTTTTCTTCAGAAAGTCTCCCCTAGCTTCCCCCGCCCAGGCTGAGGTGTAGAATTACTTGTCTCATTTCCTGAGCAGCTGTGGGGTCGCTGAGGGCAGGGATGGGTCTTTTCATCTCCGCAGCACTAAATGCTCTTTGGCTTACTGGCATCTGTGCTTGTCAGACTTCAGATCGACATGTCATACCCAGCGTAGGACCCAGGCACCGGACCCGTGGCACAGCGGGACTCACCTGGGAGGGGCTGGGACGGCGACGGGGCAGGTAGCTTTGTTCTGTGAACAGCGGATGGGAGGGCCGCACTTCTGAGACCTGGAGTGCCGGGAGTGGAGTGTCCCTCAGCACAAGGGGGGATTGCCTAGCTGCTACAACCATTTCACAACCAAATGGGCTGCTTCGGAAGGTGGTGAGTTGCCGTCACTGGCACTCTGTTCAGCTTCCTGTGTACTGAGGGCTTGGAACGCATGCTCTATGGGGCATGAGAGCAGGGTAGGTCATCTCCAGGGTTCCATGCAGTCCTGAGATTCTACAGTGAGCATTTATCAGGCTTATGTGCTAGGTTCTGGAAGCACAGCAGAGAATGAGACAGCCAAGACCCTGTGGACAGTCGGAATGCAAGAGGTTCACCGGAAGGTCAGTGGAGGATAGAGGGCACAGGAGCTGGCAGGCAGAGCCTCCGACCACACTGCAGGTGTGCCCGCGGCGAAAGGAGCAGGAGGTGTCTCGGACCGCAGCGCCCAGGCTGATGGGCCGACCTGACAGCCCTGTCATGGCCAGTCACTGGAGGAGCGCAGCCTCTGTGTACACATGGCAGGGCATCCAGAGGGGCGGCATCTGGGACCACCACTCTGGTGGGCACACTTCAGTGGCCTCCACGTGGGGATTCTAGAAAGCATTGCCTGTCACGCAGTAGCTTCCTGGATTTACTGCCCCCCGCCCGGAATCATCCCCAGGGCTTCTGTGGTCACAGGCCAGCAAGTGGTCCAGCTGGGATCCCAGCTCCCTCTGACTCTTAAGTCTGTGTTTTGTTAACTAACATGTGCTGTGTCCCAGGATTCCTCCCGGCTCCTGAGAGCATCTGGAAACAGCTGCTTGCCTACAGGTCACTGCCAGCAACTGGGTAGATCAGTGCAGAAAGTGCCACCGCTTAGTCCATCACTTGGTCTGAGGGCAGCTTACACTGGGGTGGAACCATGATTTAAACTGAGGTCTGTCTGAATCCATGTCATGAGGACAGGGCCCCAAAGGCTTAGCTAGGGAACAGGAACAACTCCTAAGCATAGTCTCTCAAAAGATAACATGGTTTCAGGCTCCGAAGCTCAGGGAAAGCAAAGCATAGTGCCTTTTTTTCCTTCTTTCCCTATGCCCGTGTAATATGGCTGTCTTTTGGGAAGACCCAGGCCTATTTTGATCACCACTGACTTCTCCTTAAATCTTTGTAGATGAATGGTGAATTATGGGGGAAAGGTATGTAGCACAGTTGCACAAACCAACCCTTATAATTCATTCCCTAAACATCTGCCCGCAAACAGAGCCCTCAGTACAAGGTTTGGGTAGCTGATGTCAAGCACACCCTGGCCTCCTGAACCCCAGAGCAGCAAGCCTGAGACCCAGCAGGGTAGGTATCTTGAGTGGGTTTAAGATCCAGGTCATTGGCTGGACAGTGGTAAGATGTGCTTAGGGATTCATGTAAGTGAAGTGAGGAAATACATGTGGAAAGACATGCGTATGTGCTGTACACATAATTATTGTTGTGCTGATCAGACCCCTACACTGGACCACCCACCCCCGAGTGATAGGGAGCTGGATCCTGAGGAAGTTCAGGAACACTTGGGCACTGAGCGCATAGGCTAAGCTGGGGTTTCCAAGCCACTGAGGGCCAATGTCATAAAAACCACTGGGTCTGGGGCAAGGGATCTTGGAATATTTCATTTCCCTGCCTTCTTACTATGGTAGAGTGGGCATGCCATGACTTTCTCTTCACTGCTCAGTCCTGTCACTACAGTTATCCATGTTGTGCACATTTTGGCTTCTGTATTAATTGGCCTCAAACTACTGGGCTTGAAATTGGTGATTTTAGTTCTTCTCTTGTGTTTATATGGCCTCCCTGTCAAACGATAGCCACTCCTCATTGACTTAGTGTGCCTGCCTTTAACAACCACATCTTACCTTTCTAACCTGTCAATCCTAATGTGCTAGAGCCTAAGAAAGTAAATGTTTAAGGCTGTTAGGCCTCTACATGCTGAGAGGCCAGTGGACAGAGAGGCTCACCGGAATGCAGTGGCAGGAATCACCGTGCACGCATGTCAGTGATGGCTAGTCTCTAGGGGCATCCTGGTCTGTCGTACTCTGACCAGATGAAGTTGCTGAAGTTGCTTCAGCAAAGTAGGGTGCAGCCATCTATTTGTTTTGATTTGCATCTCTCTGTTCTTTAGAAGATCACCTAAACATTTAGTTATGTACTATGTGTGTAAGTCTGTGAGAGCCCTCAGTACAAGGTTTGGGTAGCTGATGTCAAGCACACCCTGGCCTCCTGAACCCCAGAGCAGCAAGCCTGAGACCCAGCAGGGTAGGTATCTTGAGTGGGTTTAAGATCCAGGTCATTGGCTGGACAGTGGTAAGATGTGCTTAGGGATTCATGTAAGTGAAGTGAGGAAATACATGTGGAAAGACATGCGTATGTGCTGTACACATAATTATTGTTGTGCTGATCAGACCCCTACACTGGACCACCCACCCCCGAGTGATAGGGAGCTGGATCCTGAGGAAGTTCAGGAACACTTGGGCACTGAGCGCATAGGCTAAGCTGGGGTTTCCAAGCCACTGAGGGCCAATGTCATAAAAACCACTGGGTCTGGGGCAAGGGATCTTGGAATATTTCATTTCCCTGCCTTCTTACTATGGTAGAGTGGGCATGCCATGACTTTCTCTTCACTGCTCAGTCCTGTCACTACAGTTATCCATGTTGTGCACATTTTGGCTTCTGTATTAATTGGCCTCAAACTACTGGGCTTGAAATTGGTGATTTTAGTTCTTCTCTTGTGTTTATATGGCCTCCCTGTCAAACGATAGCCACTCCTCATTGACTTAGTGTGCCTGCCTTTAACAACCACATCTTACCTTTCTAACCTGTCAATCCTAATGTGCTAGAGCCTAAGAAAGTAAATGTTTAAGGCTGTTAGGCCTCTACATGCTGAGAGGCCAGTGGACAGAGAGGCTCACCGGAATGCAGTGGCAGGAATCACCGTGCACGCATGTCAGTGATGGCTAGTCTCTAGGGGCATCCTGGTCTGTCGTACTCTGACCAGATGAAGTTGCTGAAGTTGCTTCAGCAAAGTAGGGTGCAGCCATCTATTTGTTTTGATTTGCATCTCTCTGTTCTTTAGAAGATCACCTAAACATTTAGTTATGTACTATGTGTGTAAGTCTGTGTGATGCTACCCTATCACAATATCATACGTTAAGCATATAGTTGAATGTTGGGAAGAATATTATCTATGTCAGGTGCTCTAGAGGCAGACAGAACTGGTTGGAAATCCCAAATTTAATCACTGAATGAATATCTACGTAGATTTGTAAAGGTCTCCCCAAGTCACTGAGCCACTCTTCTTACCTACAAAATGGAGGTAATAAATAGCTACTCCTTGAGTTGTGAAGCTTAGATGCTTTAATATATCGTCTTTATTTAACTCGCGCCTAGAAATGTTGTAGGCAGGTGGCACATTGTAATTCCTTCCCCATTCAGGCACCTTTTCTCCTGAAAGGAAAGCTTTGAGTCTTTTCCAAGGTATCAAAACATTTTGGCACAGAATCTCTTCTCTCCTCCTTATGGTCTTCGGAGAATGAAAACTCATCACCTCACATAACAGCCCATCCATAGTTAATCGGAGACTCTGGCAAGTACAGAGTTTTTCTGTGTCAAATAGCAGCTGGCCTGTGTCTCAGAAAAGGGCAAAACCACCTTCCATCCCTTGTCACTGAGGCTGACGCTGAAGTTTTTCCTTGCTCTGCAGTGAACAGAGTATCTGCCAAGCCCGGGCCTCCGTGATGGTCTACGATGACACCAGTAAGAAATGGGTGCCAATCAAACCTGGCCAGCAGGGATTCAGCCGGATCAACATCTACCACAACACTGCCAGCAACACCTTCAGAGTCGTCGGAGTCAAGCTTCAGGATCAGCAGGTGAGTGCTGGACAGCATGTGCCACCCACAAGCCTGCACCACAGACACACACGCACATGCATAGTAAAGAGGTCAGAAAAGAAAGGTCAAGATGTGGAGTCAGAAGATGTGAGTTCAGATATTTTCATACTCCAAGGTATGAGACCCTGAACACACTATCTGAACTTCACTGTTCATGTGTCTCTTACAGAAACAGTAATCCACACCCTGTCTACCTCCCTGTGTTACTGTTGCACTAGGATAAAATAACAGATTTGAAACAAATTTGAAAAATATATTGTGCAAACGTGTTAGTATTATTCCACACCTATGTATCTGTAAGTGTGAACATTTTGGGTTCATCAACCCCCTAAGTCTTACTTTGGAGGAAATGTCAAAATGATTTGAAGAATCTGGGATCATTTCTCTCCCTAAATAGTACATCCTGGGCAAATCAGATAAGATAGTTTGTGAGTGTACCTGGGAAGTACCTTTGCAAATATAAATAGCCCTATGTGGGAAATAGTTGTGCACAAGTAACTAAGAGTAACGTGATGTGAATGACATGCATTAAAATAGAGATGTGAAGAAAGGGGCCGTGTGGCTCAACCAGTGACATTGGTTAGCACTTCAGCACTCTCCCCCCAACTCTCTTCTTAGAGACTGACAGGGACATTTTTTAGCAGTGAAATTAACAGATCTGTGGTTTCAGCATTTATGAAAAACTACCTAAATAGCATGCTTTGTTGGTCAAGCCTGGGCTAAGCTTAACAACAGGTCAGCTGCTATCTCTGCAAGAATCAGCATGTTAGCAATTAGAAAAAAGAAAGAACAGAAACTTCGGGCTCTATTTTTAGTCTGTTGCCTGTTGAATGGGGTTTCTGCTTTGGCCAAAACAGCCGTATTAAGTTGCAGATTCTTGTGGCTGGAAGGGACACCCCCACTTCAGGACCTCTCGTAAAAGGTGTCTGCCTGACTTGGAACCCTTGGTACTTCCAGAGGCGTCCCTTTACATTGTTGATGAGCCTTAATGGTAGGAAAGTTTTTCTAGAAACCTTCTAGGAGCTACTTCCTTGTTCTCCCAGTGTGTTGATTCTAGCTCTGCCTTTTAGAGGTATGCTCTGCCATATGTTATAGGAAACATAGCCCGGGTATGGTAACAGGCAAACACATCTCACCCCTTCTAACAGCCACGGGTGGAGTGGGCGGGGCAGCACCACCCTGGAGCTCACCTTTGACATGAGATCGGTTACCTGGTGTGGTTCTCGAGCATGTTGGGTGTTCCCTAAGTGACTGCTTTTCATATAACAAGTTCTTCATGCCCTTCATGCCTCTTGGTTGCCCTCCTGGGCACACCAGGAGGATAGGATCATGTGCTGGAAAGGGCACGGGGTGGGAGAGCTGGATTCCCTGCAACCGCAGCACCTTGTTCTCAGGAGCCTCAGCACCTCACTGCCTCCTTCACCCCAGACAACGTGTGGGGGCTAGTTTGGGAGAAGACCTTTTCCCCATGCAGGGAGGAACTGGCCGCTGTCCTCAGAGACCTCCCAGATAAATTCAGAGAGGCTGTGTCAACTCTAACAGAGTTCTCCTAGAGTCGGACGGAAGGCACCGACACAGCCTCCTTGGAACTGCGGGCCCCAGGACGTGGCTGAGGCCCACTCCTCAGACGTGGGGCATGCCAGCTAGGAGCATGAGACTCTTAGGGAACCTAGGCACTAGAGGAGGTGGCAGGAGACTGGTCCACAGTGACTTCTGTGGGCCTCAGGAGAAAGGGTAGATTTTCACAATCCCTTTCCCAGTCAGCTTGGACTGCAAGGGCAAACATTTTGAGACCAAGATTCCTGTTTTATAACCAAATAGGAATATCTTACATGTTTAATGCTCCTTATGGCTACCATTTAAGTCTTCCAATAACCCAGGAGGGTAACAGAGGAAAGCTTATCACCCCTGTTTTGCTAAATAGGTGGATATAAAACCAAGTGCTCATTTGTGGAGAAAAGGACTGGAAAGTAGTAGCAGTTTTAACCTAGATCTCACGTGAAGGGTGAAAATATCAAAAGGTTTTTAATTGAGGAGGAGTTACGGCCACCAAAACTGCTAGTGAGCTCGGCCTGCATTACTAGAAGTAGGGGTACAGGAGAAGGCAGATTACGGTCCTGCTCTGCACTGGTCATGCGTCACCAGGAACGCAGGGGCCGAACCTGAGGGCCACAACCTGGGACCCTGCAGGAGAGCATCTGAACCGGTGAGAGGTCTGAAAGTGGCATAATATGGGGGACAACTGCAGGGGTAACGAGGTGTGTACTAGGAGAAGAGAGAGTCTGAAGGGGGCGTGGCCTCGGTTCTCAAACCTCAGAAGGGCTGCCACGTGGAAGGGACCTCCCACTTTCTCTGTGAACCCCCGAGAACCGAAGCAGGAACCCTGCATGGGCACCGCGATGAAGAAGACTTGGCCTCAGTGAAAGGAAGAGTTCTCACCAGCGCACTGCTGATAGACGGGCTGTGTTGCTTTGCGAGCGAGCCCATGAGCTGGTGGGCCATTCGGTATGGATTCAGGGGCAGACGTGGCTTCAGTGGGCAGAGATTTTGATGAGATGAGACCTCAACAGCTTTTGCCAGTTGTTTTTTGTAGATTCTGTGGTTTGAGGTCCAGGTGAATACAGGGTCAGGAAGACTATTCTCCACCATCAAGCTTCTTTTCTGGTAGAGGGGCCCTTGACTCTTTTTGCTCAGAGGCCCAGAAACATGCTAGACAGTACATGGAGTTGCAAAGCCCTCCTTTAAAAAAAAACAGGAAACATACACTCTCTTAATCCTACACTCCCCCAAAGGAAGCATGCAACATTATGACTGTGGGTTTCCAGACAAAAAATAAGCTTCTCACTCAGCACTTGTCCAGATAGGTTCTACCAAAGCTTGGAGAATCATTTCTTAAATCAAGCAGGTAAGGACACAGGTTGAAAGGAAGGGAGTGGAAAAAGATAAATCTTATAAACAGTAACCAAAAGGAACTGATGTGACTATATTAATATTATACAAAATAGACTTTAAGGTAAGCATTACTGAAGCTGAAGAAGGATCTTTTTAATGATAAAAGGAAGGCATAGCAATCCTAAATTTGTACACAGCTACTAATATGTCTTCAAAACATATAAAGCAAAAATGGACAGATCTATAGGGGAGATCCAGAAGCACTGTTGGAGATGCTAATCACACCTCCAAGAAACTGCCTAAGCAAGCAGACAGAAATAAGTGAAGAGATAGAAAATTTTAATTCCATTATTAACCCATTTGAGCTAATTTACATTTATGTTAATTACATAACAACACCAACACCTGTAGAATATACAGTCTCGTCAAATATACATTGAACATTTACCAAAATAGACCATATGCTAGGCCATAAAGCCAGTTTCAACAAATTGAAAAGGTGTAAAATCATGCATAGTACTCTTTGGCCACAGAGGAATTAAGCCAGAAATCAGTAACAGATGGGTAACTAGGAAATCTCCTGGTTATCTGGGAGATAACTAGAAAATGTTGGGAGTTAAGCATCACATTACTAAATAAGCCATAGGACTAAAAAAAAAAAAAAAAAAAAAAAAAATCACAATGTAAATCAGAAAATATTTTGAACTGAATAATAGTGAAAATGCAATGTAGCAAAACTTATGGGATACAGCTAAAGCAGTACATATAGGGAAATTTTAGCTGTAAGTGTATTTTTATAAAAAGAATGACTGAAAACCAGTGACGTAAGCATCTCTCTCAAGAAGCTACAAAAAATAAAAGCAAATTAAACCCAACCAAAGTAGAAGGAAAAATAAAAACCAAAACAAATCTAATGAAATAGATAGCAGATATATAATAGAGAAAAGCAAAATGTGTTAGTTTTTTGAAGAGTCTCAATAGGCCCATGCATATGTGGTCATTTGATTTATGACAAAGGCACCATTGTATTAAGTGAAGAAAAAGATGGTACTTTCAACAAATGATGCCAGAACAATCAGATACCAATATGAAAAAGTATCTTTACCCTAGCCCACACCATACCTCAAAATTAATTCAAGATAGATCATCCTAAATATGAAACATCAATCAGTAGAGTTTCTAGAAGAAATACAGGAAAATATCTTCATTATGTTGGGAGAAAAAATATAAGAAAATATCGTCAGACATTGAATAGGACACAAAAAGTATTAACTATAAAAGAAAAAGTTAAGTTGGATTTCCTTAAAGTGAAGAAATTTTCTTTATTAAAAGATGCCATTAAGGGAGTGTAAAGGAAAACTACATACTAGAAGATATACTTCCAGTAAGTAGATAAGAATATGACGTAGGACTCTTGAAGAATACATACAGAACTACAGATCCATCAGAAAAAGACAAACAGCCACTTTTAAAAACAGGCCAGATTTGAACAGGAATTTCACAGATTACTCCTCAGGTGAAATATGAGGAGTGAAAGACCAGTGAAATCAGGAGATAGGGCTACACACACCAGGAAGGCTAAAGTTAAAAAGACTGAGGAAACCAAATGCTGGGGAGGGCGCGGAGCAACTGGGGCTCCCACCCACTGCTGGTGGAAGTGTAATTGGTAGAGCCTCTTTGACAAACGGTATGGCATGACCTACTGAAACCCAGTACACACCTACCCTACCACCCTCTGCTGGGTGTAGTCCCTGGGAAATGGGTGCCTGTGCCCACTGAAAGACATGTATGAAAATAGTCCTAGCAGTTTTATTCATAATAGCCAGTAGCTAGAAACTACACAAGTATCCTTCAACAGGAGAATGGATAAGTTAGTATTATGTAACAGTCAAGAAGGATTAAATACTCACAAATGCAACAGCATGGATGAATCTCAGACACAATGTGCTGACTGAGAGACCAGAAACGAGTACAAACCGCATGAATCCGTTTCTGTGTCGCTCACGAGCAGGCAAAGTAACTAAAGGGGATGATGGTCAGAAACACGGTCATCTCTGCAGGGGAGGGTTCGGAGATGAGGTTATATGAAGCTGATCCACAGCCCAAGTAGATTTGCAGTAAAGTGCATGTTCCAAGCAGGGTAAGCAAGTGAATGATTGACTCATGAGATAGAGATTTTGAGTATCAGTTGCTAAGATCTATCTGGCAGTTAGTAACTAGGTACCTCTCAATAATAGTCGAGTGACATTATCATCCAAAACCCACTGCATAGACTTCTTAGACTTCATAGACTTGCATAGAAGCACCTTTTCAAATGGTAAATACAATTTTTTAAAATTAAAGTATCATTGAATACAAGTTTTTAAACGATCATGTGCATAGATCCCACAGCTCTGCATATAGGAATATATCCTGTAGGAATACATGTGCACAGATATATGCACAAGGAAATTCATTACAGCATTATTTATAATAATCTGTTCATTTTATATTTGAAGAAGCTAATGGCAGTAACTTGCCCAAGGTTATTCAATTGCAAAGTAATAAAGCCAGAATTTTAATCCAGGGCCTTTGACTCAAACCCACCCATCCCTTGCACCTAGTTCCACAGTTGTCTTCAAAGCAATGGTAGTCTGTTGTGGGCTGTGTCTGGCTAGCAGGCAGCAACCCTTGGCAAGCAGCCTTTATACTCAGTGTAGGTAGAACAGAAAAGGCAGTTCTGGGAGCTGCAGTCAGATGAGAGTCCAGCCATGTGCAGCAGAGAACCCAGAGGAGAACCTATTGCCCTCTCCCAGTCTGACACTCAAGTCTATCAGAAGCAGGGCTCCAAAAGTTAGAGCCCGGACCAGCGGGGGAATTGCAGGAATAAAGATACCAGTTCATTGTCCTGGTGATGAGAAGCAGACTAAAGTCCTAGGCTACAGACATGGCTTGTAAGTTCAGTTCCGCCATCAACTTAGCGTAACTTTGGACAAGTCACTCGCTCCCCCGGGCCTATTTCCCAACTGTAAAAAGACTGAGTTAGATGTTCTGGATGGTTTCTTTATTCCATATTCTGGAGACGCATCGGATTCCCACAACACACGCGCG